CAAGAGATGGCGCTGTAGTCTCCTGAATCGCGCTTTGGTTCCGTTGTTCCAGATTAATAAATACTTTTGATAGGCCTTCACAATGCAGTCGTTAGCACCCACAAAATAGATTCTATTTCTATTTTATTGGTAGATTTTCTTAATGTGCGGTAAACACAGAAGTAACAGCGCTAAAGCGACCAACTTCATGCTGTTAATTTTTAGTGTTACAGTGATGCGCGCGCATCTTAAAATTTCACTCTCATCATTTTTTCATAACGCGCCTAAAGAAGTATAACTTCAAAAAGATAGAAAAAAAACTGTCTTCCGTAAATTTGCGAAGCAATAGCTTAGCTTTTCGAATTAATCAAATGCTGTGTATAGTTGAATAAACAATAATCAACATTGCAATGGGTAGATGACCAAAATGTTGTTATTTCATGCACGTAAAATTTCATCAGAACATTCGTCAGGAGGATAAAACCGCACGATCGAGGTTATGGTTGTAACGAGCGTACGGTTGTGAAGAAAATAATTAAGCATTTTTGGCCATACATCCCCATACGGCCAAAAATGCTTAATTATTTTCTGGCCAAAAGTAAATATTACTAAGTTAGTAGTATTAGTTAGTTAAGTGGCCAAAACTCAATATGTAAATAATGGACATAACATTAATGTGTGATCGATCATCAAAACTCATTAGAAATACAGCGTGTCAGTCAGTGGGTGTGTAAATCTGTTTGTTTTTTTTTTAATGTCGGAGAACACCGGCTAATACGGCAGTAGTTACGATCAAGGCCAAGGACGTTACAAAGTACATAATGTGCCTAGGTATTTAGTTTTGTTATTGTTTTGCTTAAGTTCAATCGTCTTAAAGCAAATTAAACCTTCCCTTCGCCTTATAATATCGGATGCGTTATTGCGATATCTGTTTTTATTATATTATGTACTAGTAGTTAGTTAGAAATAAAGGTTCACTGCTCGTTCGCCGTAGGTGATAGCGTGGTAATATGTAGCCTATAATGTTGACCCGACTTCTTAATAAAATAGTGCCAACATTAGAACGGCTACAACGTTACATTATTGTTATCGCAAAAACGCATCCGATAATATCGACCGATAAAAACGCACCTTACGCCGGTATCACACTATTATTAAAGGCGAAAGTTTGTGAGTGTGTATGTTTGTTACTTCATCACGTCTAACCGGCTGGAGCGATTTTAATTTGAATTTGGTATGGAGTTAGCTGTCACCCTGGATTAACACATAGGCTACGTTTTACTGCTGAAAAATATCCTTAATAAACCGCGGGTAACACCGCGGGGTACAATTAGTATTTATATAAGAATGTAAAGGTTTTAAACTCTATGGTTAAAATACTTAGGTAAGAAAACTTTCTGGTTGAGTTTAAAGAGGTTTCATATATTTTTTAAGCATTATAAACATATTATCACTGTTTACTAACATAAATCGTACGCGAATTACCTTATAACGAACATGATTTCTATTACAAATTAACAAAGATTAAGACAAGTGTAAATAAGACCTAATAAGAGTCAATTAAAAAAAATCATTATGCAATTACGATTTAATAAACGGCTAGACATTTAAGTGATGTTTTGACAAAACAGAAATCAGAAAAAACGGATAAAAATGTATAAGTTCTTATGTATCTAGGTAACTTGTTACTTGATTAAGAGTGAAATGTAATAGATAATAAAATTTTCGCTGTGACCATTATAATATTTTTTTTATCTTTTCATTCTTTCGTTTTCTTATTGTAATTAAACAACTTATCCTACAATATGAAAATATTCCTAAAATCCAACGCAACTAAACTTTACTCTTAAATCTCTTTGCTAAAATCACATTTAATACATCCATGAGCGAGTAAAAGAAATTAAAAAAAAACACGAAATGTCAACAACTCCGAATGGAATGAACGCAACTGACCTTTGATCTCCGAATCAAATCCCAAATAAAAACAAATGAACTCGATGATTGGTGGTAGACTACACATCACTACGCGAGTAACATCGTAAGTCGTAATACTTCGATGGTCGAAGTCACAGGTCAGCTGATCGCACTAGCGGCCTGTCCCACGGTCACAGTGGTACTGACTCCACAATACCACTAGCACTACCGAGTTTTTCACATTGAACGAACTGACCGCGGTATAATATTGGAACCACTCACTCTTTCGTAGGTTAGGGATTTCTTCCGCATTTTTCGATGTAAATTAAGAGAGGAGGCGGGCAATTTTTTTTCAATACAATCGTCCTCGATTGATTCATTCAGTAAAGAGTTGATTTTTAAACATAAAATATGGTAATATAATAATTTTGACGACCTCCGTGGCCGAGTGGTTTGTGCGCCGGGTTTCACGGTGTCACCGACTCGAGAGGTCCCGTGTTCGAATCTTGGTGGGGGCAGATGTTTGTGTGATGAATACGAGCATTTGTACTCCAGTCATGGATGTTTCATATGTATTTATATATAATTATACTTTAATATATGTACAGTATATGTATTCTATCCGGATATTATAGGATATTCGGAGATAAAAAAAAATAAAAAAAAAATAAAAAAAAATAAAAAAAAAATAAAAAAAAAATAAAAAAATATTCTATCCGTTATCGTAGTATCCCATAACACAAGCCTTACAGTGCTTACTTTGGGGCTAGGCTAATCTGGTGTGAGTGTTGAAATATTTATTTATTTAATTTTGCTCATTCTATGCTCCCATGTCCTCCTTATTTCGATAATTTGTATTTCAAAGAAACTAGAAGTCTACAGAAAATTTCCACGCGGTCCAGGCAGCAGATGGGACTCGAACCCGCACCCTTCGCTATCAGGGCGAATGCACTGACCACAACATCTAGTAGTTAAATGCTTAAAAAATAGAAAAACTAAACTAGAGGCCCTCAAAAATGACAAAAATAAGCAAATTGTCATCATCACTAAAGAAGTCTAGTGTAGAGATTTAATAGGCATTTACAAAAAAAGCAAAACATCGCATAGCATAACTATTTATTATATCTTATTTTCGAGGAGGAAATCGAAGCGACATCCCTTTCTCAGTGTAGTATAGTCAGTGTTGCCAGGTCTCCAGATTTTACAGGAGATCTCCTGTTTTTCTGAAATTTCTTCTGTTCTGCTGTTTTTCTACATGAATCTCCTGTTTTTTAGAATACGATTTTCTTTTTTAAATTGCATGTTGAGTTGCTTTTTCCGTCATTAATAATGTAGATAACCTTAATAATTATAAAATAAATGTAATTGTCTAAATGAAAATAGCTTTGAGGGGGGGCCACAGAAACACATTCGTTATTGGTCTTTATCTTGATTTGATTTACCGATTCTAGGGGGGGGGGGGGGCGCAAATCGAAAAAAGTACGCCTCTGCATCTACTGTTTTTCTTGTAGCTCTTTCCATACATCTACTGTTTTTTTCTATAACGACTCCCGATTTTTGAAAATCGGACCTGGCAACACTGAGTATAGTGTAGTAGTAGTAGTGTACAGTGTAAATAGCGGAATCGAGTACGCCCATATTAGGGTAGTTTAATTTCTTAAAGTAATTTCTTTCGTGCACCTGAATATAGACTATACTCTGTATAGCACATAGCGACATCCCTTTCTCACTGTAGTCAAGTAAAGATCAACACTTAGTTGTCATTCTGTAATACCAGCCTAAGTGTAAATAGCGGAATCGAGTACGCCCATATTCGGGTAGTTTTGGTTACACGACACCATCTTCCAGAGTAAATATTGCTTCGGGTGCCCAAATTCTAGTAATTTCTTTCGTGCACCTGAATGCAGACTATACTCTGTATAGCACATAGCGACATCCCTTTCTCACTGTAGTCAAGTAAAGATCAACACTTAGTTGTCATTCTGTAATACCAGCCTAAGTGTAAATAGCGGAATCGAGTACGCCCATATTAGGGTAGTTTTGGTTACACGACACCATCTTCCAGAGTAAATATTGCTTCGGGTGCCCAAATACTAGTAATTTCTTTCGTGCACCTGAATACAGGCTATACTCTGTATAGCACATAGCGACATCCCTTTCTCACTGTAGTCAAGTAAAGATCAACACTTAGTTGTCATTCTGTAAGGCCGTATACAGAAAGAAAGCCGAAAGCCGATCGCCGCTTATCGGCGCCGATCCTTCCTACATAAAGGAAGCCGATTAAAGCAGATCAAGCAAAATGTCGGACTCATCGGACGATGATCTGGTTTTGTTAGAAATTGTGTATTTAAAAATTCGAAAAAAAGCTATACATCCTATAAATAGAGAAAGGAAACGTTTCGGAGAATACCATCATTTATTTGTAAAAAAATGAAATTTAATGAACAAAGATTTTATACATATACAAGAATGATTCAAGAAACATTTTATTACATTTTGGATGGATGAAAAACCGTTTGATGAAAAATTGGTGCAATTGGCATAAACAACCAATCCTTCCAGAAGAAAGACTTGTTGTCACCATTCGGTAAGTACGAAACAAATAATTTTAGCGCTTAGTTAATAAAAGATAAAGTTATTAGATTTATAAAAAGATTATAACTTAGATTGATTTAATCTAAGGATAATAATTCAAATACAAATTATTTATTATTCGGAACTGCGCGTATCGGCGCTTATCTGCGCTTATCGGCGCCGATAGGCTTTCGGCTTTCTTTCTGTATACGGCCTAATACCAGCCTTAGTTGATTACCCGATTTCCACTGGTACTCGTATTCGGACTAACGACCAAGTAATCGCGCCATAAATACACAAGCATTTTTTTTTAATGTAAAAAGATAATAAATTCTAAAGAACCAAACACGTAGTTCAGTTTTTTGAGTTTTACAAAAAAATATAATAAAACTATTCTCTATCTATAGTACAGTTAACGCACCATTTCAATCTGAAACAAACGTTCTGTTTTTGCGTATTAAAAACTTGTTGTTTTAGCAAAAACAAAACGAAAAGAGATAGAAGCTTATCCAATAAAAAAGTTATACGGTTACCTGTTGTACAATCCGAAAACTAGTTCAAATTTAAAACATAAAATTCTTCATCAACACCACACATAAAAACACTTTCACCACTAACAAAATGTTTTATAATATAAAAAAATAACATTAAACATTTTTATATAACAATACCATTCGCTAAGTGTGTCTCGACTATACTAAAATTGTGATTGCAAATTGTAGTTTTATCAATAAAACACAAGCCATTTCCGATAAAGATTTTTAGTCACAGTTACGTGGAATAATCAGTGTCACACAGCTCTTCCGAATCTACAAAACTGTCTAAATTTTTCAATGGATTTTGAACCTTTGTGTAGGTGGGTTCTGAGTTTAAAATAGAATGCAGAATTTTTGGAGTGGTCCTCGAAATGATATCGTTAAAATTATTTTGAAGATATTCTGTACTCGGTAATGACTCACCTGTAAGATAGCGAAGTGTTTAGATTAAATTCGACCACGTTTATGTTAGAAAATCTTGTAATTCTTCATGTTAATAACAAGATCGTTAAATGGCTGATAGACTTAAATCGTCGCTTAGATTAGGATGGATATGAAGTTGATAAAGTTTTTTCACTTCACGATAAGTATTTAAAATACAGATAAAAGAACACGACTTAACGTTTGTTTTAGATTGAGTGAGTATCTGAATAAGCCGGGTTATACGTAAATAGATTCAGGTACTTACGTATAACCCGGTTTATTCAGATACTCATACGGATTGAGTGATTGTATAATAATCCTTACTGGTACTTGAACCGGATAAATTATTTTCTAGTAAAGATTTTAATGCTTCAATAAAAAATAAATCGACAATTTTGAGTTAGCTGAGAAACTTTTCTAGCTATTTCAGTCAGTTTAGTTAAATCTGCGCAAAAGTATTTTTTACTTTAATTTCTCTTTTTTGAATAATGTCTCCACGTTAGCTTACTAATTTTGTAATTTTATATATTCCGTTATACCGCTTGTAAGTTTTAACTGTTCGCACTTTTTCCATATACTCGATTTTTAATTTTCTCAGCTAACTCAAAATTTACGGTGTTTGAATGAACTGTAATAATTCAATAAAATTTAAGATGGTAACAAAAAATACGAATCACATTAAAAAAAAAAACAAGTTTACCGTCCGTGCGTCTGTAAGTGATATTGTAGCACAGAATGCGCGCGCGCATCAGGATGCGTGTCGTAGGTAGCCAACCGGAACCGACGCGGTAACCTTGAGCAGATGCTCTACAAACGAACAACTAACACATTTCACTCGATAGTAAGTACAAAATCAAGCATTTACCAAATAATTGAAAGGGATTAGTGCTTATAAATAAATAAATATTTTCAACACTCACACCAATTAGCCTAGCCCCAAAGTAAGCACTGTAAGGCTTGTGTTATGGGATATGTACTAGGGTAACGGATAGAATACATATACTGTACATATATAAGTATATTTTTATAGAAATACATATCAAACAAATTCATGATTGGAGTACAAATGCTCGTATTCATCACACAAACATCCACCCCCAATGGGATTCGAACCCGGGACCTCTCGAGTCAGCGACACCATGAAACCCGGCGTACGAACCACTCAGCCACGGAGGTCGTCAATATGTTGGTTTCTGTTTGCAATGTTATGGGAAAATCTGGTCTTATGTTATATTTATGAAACGGCTAACAATTTGCTTCAGCGCACTCTTTGATAACAATTTTTTCTTAGCAAAAAATATCATTATTTAATTACAGCCTTTGCGAAATGAGAGCACAGATTCATGAAATATTATAAGACTAGCGTCTACTTTGACTTTAGCTTTTTGGGAATCCAACAGAAACTTTTAAAAAACCGCGTTAAAGTTATCCTATGTCTCATTCGAAGTCATAAACTATATACTTACTACTGAATTTATCAAAATCCGTTCAGCAGTTTTAGCGTGATTGAGTAATAAACCGCATAAATGCGTCAACTCTTAAAGAAGTGGGAGTCACCGTTAGGCTGTCCACATTCTGTTTGCGTAGGATCCTCGAATTCTTCGGTCACATAGCAAGGAAGAAAAACGATATCTTGGAAGTACTCCTGGTGACAGGAAAAGTACAGGGAAGGCGACCGAGAGGAAGCAGCCCCATGCGCTGGACAGACCAGATCCGCGATAATACCAAAACTGGAGTCCGCGATGCACTCCACACTGCTGAAGACCGCAACAAGTGGAAAGAAATCGTCCACAAAATAATTCGTGGAGGTGACGACCCTCAGCAATGAGGAGCACGACACAAGCAGGAGTAAGGAGTAATAAATATACAAACACAAAATTTCACATTTATAATATTATGTAGTAGGATATGAATATCATATTGTCTATTTGTTTCTTAGGTTTTCACGCACTTCACTCATTAAATAAAACAAGTTGCAAAGGGTTAGATGCACTAATTTTTTTTATTTATTGACATTTCACAGCCTTTGCAGGAATGTTTCTTTAATACATTATTTTGAAGAGGGCTTCCTTCAAAAGGCATTGTCTTATTTAATCATACTGTCTTCTATGGTCTTTTGTGATAACTGACGTCATACAAATTCACAATATCGGGGTCCAAACTGAGTGACTGAGTACGGAGGTCGAATCAATACAGGTGACGACCTTAAAGAAACAGCTCTATTACGAAAGCGTACTAACGTGCTTCTTTTCGCATCACTAACAAGTTTGTACCGATGAGGAAAGAATGTACCCATCATGGTAAAGAAAAATACCTTTTTAGCGCTTAACGTTTTTAACAAAGAAAACCTATAATTATTACCTCTAATAGCACAAAGTTTAATCAAAGCATTTACCATACAAATTGTAAAAAAAATAGTATAAAAAACAATATATGAAGGACGATGCTGTATGTTGTATATCCCTTGCCTTCATATGGAATTATTAAATTAAAAAACATACAATGTAAAATTGTTTTTTTTCTTCGTCTGGTAAAAATGCTGAGATCATCTGAGCTGAGACCATCGTTTCTATTGACGAAACATATTAATATTTTCAATTTATTTTTAAAGTAATGAAAAAATCCGCAAATGTATTTTTTTTTATTTGTCTTACTAAGAAAACAATAGTTTTCAATGTATCAGCACACGTTTTTTATTTTTAGGATTCCGTACCTCAAAAGGAAAAATCGGAACCGTTATAAGATCATTTGGTTGTCCGTCCGTCCGTCCGTCGGTCACGACCGTTTTTCTCAGGAACGCGTGGAGGTATTAAATTGAGTTCGGGAGAAGAGGACGGAACCCTCGTTGAACGAATCTGACTCGCAGTTGTCCGGTTTTTTTTTATTTCATTAGGTACGTATTCAAGATTCTGAGAAGCTTTTAATGTGCACATCTCAAAGATAACTAATATTATTATTGTTAAGACTGTATAATACACATAAATCAAACAAAAATTATATTCGTGAATTCTTCCAGGGAAAATATTGTAACGTAAAAATGAAATTTTGTCTGTACTGTGGAATATTGTGCACTCTGACAAGCAACTCATTACATGATAAACATTACTTAAAATAAGTATTTATTATTGAAGATAACTTTACTTAATATATCAATCTGTATTAAGTTACTCTATGTTTTCCTGGGAGTATTATTAAAAGACTACTATTATTATTTTTACAAAGTTCCTCTCTAAAAAGAGACCGATTGGTTGTTTCACCTTGAACTTTACTGTTTATTAATAAATTCGTTCGCAAGATGTTGTGATTATGACTGTAAGTAACTCATGCACGCACGTATGTTAGTAAAGAGACATACCTAATCTTAAATATATTTGACTTATTGCGGGGTTAAGGGTACATTTACCTTTAACCCCGCATTTGTAAAATAACTTGTATTGCATTTCAATACAAGAAATAAAATCGCTGGTTGCATAAGATATTTTTTTTTTTAGTATTATGCTGAATTTGGATAGCCACAAAGAATGTGCAGCAAAAATGCAAAAAGTAATAACTAAATATCTATTATAAAACTTTTTGAAGTTTTGCTGTTCATTATACAAAATTTATTCGCGACGTGGTTCGAAGTATTTAAGCTAAAGGTATGAGATGTTGTTATGAAGTCTGATCTAATCGAATATTGCTTTTTGTTTCATTATGTACTTAAAAATTTAAAATTATTACTTGAGGAGCTCGGTAGTGAGGGAGGCGTTCGGCTGCCTTCGTTGTAGTTAAGCAACTTTCGCAGTGGTCGGTCATTGGATGGTGACCAAAAATCTTCTATCTCGAGTTCCTCCGTGCTTAAGAAGGCACGTTAAGCCGTTGGTCCCGGCTGCATCTGCAGTCGTTAGCTCCCGCCGCAATAGGCCCGCGTGGTGGGTCATGGCCCAATCTCCCTATTGCATCCATAGAGAAGGCCTGTACCCCAGCAGTGGGGATAAGAATAGCCTGATGATGATGATGATGACTTAAAAATTAACTTTTTAGCACACTATTGTACACCACCAATGTGAGCAAAAAAATACATGTACAATAATTATTCTCATCTCGCAAGTCTAAATTAAACAAAGAAATGGCTAATCGTACTAACATGAGTCCTAATTTTGGTAAATTAAGTCGCATTCAGTACTAACAAATGTGAAGTAAAATTTATCACTGAAAATAATGTTCACGTGAATAAATTACGGAGCGAAGACGGTTAAGTTGATAAAGCGAAACGATTTGAAAATGGCAAGCATATATCATAATTTATAGTTGCGAATAACAAAATGGTACAAGCATTGTTTGATGGATGATGTAATACTATTATTTTAACCGAACTTTAGTTTATACTTCACCTATAACGGCGCAATTACATTGAGTCATTAGTCCGTATTCGGGTACACGAAAGACATTTTATTTTTATTTTATTTTATTTTATTCAGGACAAAAAACAGTGGTACAGTTCTCATTAAACAAATAGTATTGTAATACAGGTGACACCATAAATTATTGTACGACCTACTTCAGTATCCACTAATTAAAACAAAATACATATTTTTGCGCTTAAGATTTTCTATTAATACAGTAGGTACCAAGAAATGAACAGAATATAAATTAGTAACTGAAAATAATGACATGACCTATCAATCAAACCACTGTGCTAAAGTAGTTAAATCCAGCCAGGGTGCAAGTCTAACCGATGTATATCTATTTTAGTATATTAACATTCACTTAGATATTATAAGTAGGGATGCAAAGTCTTTTGAAATATC